TCATCAATGTAGAGAGAATGGACACCTGCACAAAACCATTCTCGTCTTGGAAGGAAAAAATTGCCCCATACGCGTCGGGCATCAGCGTTGCATTCTTAGTCAGCTGCTAAATTCGGACTGCATGCGACGTGGAATATGACCTTTGCCAACATCACGGAGAAATCACTCTGATAAGCCAAAGCACTAGACATAATCGTAATCCGGCTACTTAGACTTTAACCCCAGTACCTCAGTTGACGATGACAACAACAACATCATCCTATGTCTAATGGATAGGAATAAGAAAAGACCCAGTTGTTTGAAACGATTTCAATTTTTCCTCCTCCCTATATCTCTGATGAACCTTTCTCGTTGTCGTCTTCCTTCCTGTTTGTATTCTTTCTTTGTTGTACAGAAGATCATTACATAGATCGTTTGCTTACTCGCATATAATCCTGATGTTCGCTATTTAAATGTATTTTTTTTATTCTGGCGCTGCACTTGCAAAAGTTATAAACAACATTTTTACCGCTACTCCAGTCCTCATAAAGGAATGCCGGAAAATATGTTAAAACCTGGTCGTAACCCTGGCTTGTGTACATTGTATGTTGTAAAATTAAGATTTCATGATGTCCAATAAAGTCACGCTTATTAGATTGTGCAGCGAGTGTCCAATTCAGTGTGGCCTCATCCTTGAAAAGTTTTTTTGTATGATATGAATAAAACAATAAAATACGCATACAGAGAATACGGATGTCAGGTGAGGATGTCATGTAGAAGCAGTTGTTTTGGCAGTTCTCGCTTTCTTGGAATCCCTGCGAGCAGTTGTGCAATTGATCGTCGTTAAAATTCCGCTGCGCATTGGAAGCTCGAGTGCAAAGGAGGACTGTAGATGAATTATACAGACTATTTCAGAGCTTTTAGCCTTCTCTGCAAACCAGAGTCGTTACTGTACAAAGTGGTCTTTGGGTTTCGTTTTTTGTTTTTCTGACCTCCTTTGTTATAATCTTTGTTCTGTTTTTCTTTCCCACCCATCGTTGGTCAACTTCGTTAATTTAATTACCCC